GTTACAGTTTTGGCTGCCACATTCTGCAATATTTGAATTTTCAAGGTCAGATCCAGGAACAATACATTACAGCAATCCAGTATGAAGAATACTGGAGCATGATAGTCATTCCATGCAACTGAACTGTGCTTTGCAGGCAGGAAAGCTGTTGCACAAGGGCTTGTACCTCAGATAATATGAAAAGAATTGAGCTTTGCTTGGTGAACTTTGTGAGTCAATGCCCACACAGGTAGAACACATATTTAAACCTATACACTTTGCTCCCCACCCACCCATTCTGTCATTGGGCCTGCTCCCTGCCCAAGATGCTCTATGACTATTTATTGGCTGCAACTATTTTTAATAGATACTTCACACATTCCATCTGGGTTACCCTATTATGGCCAAATGAGCTTTAAAAAATCAGCTCCCTTCTTCTGGAATATCTAGGGCAACTACTAGCGTATTCCACAAGAGAAATGAAATGGTTGAAAATAAAATTTCAGCCCTTTCCAGCTTGGGGAGTTTCACATAATACAAGATTTCCACCACCACCCTCAGATTGGAGAACAGCAAAACCTGCAGTGATGTGGCTTCTTTCTTTTTTTTCTTCTGGTGGCCATCATCATTCCCCTAGATATAGCATTGTTCCAGTCTGCTCTGAAGGAAAGAAATATTCACCACCAGTGGGGGCTGCCATTTTTCATCCCCAGATGTAACTCAGACTAAAACCAGGGCAGGGATAGGGGGAATTGGTGCTCAACTTGCTGCAAAAAGAGTACTAGCTATTCTGTCACTGCCACAGGCAGCAAAATAATAAATACAGTGGTGCCTTGCTAGACACTTACCCCGCATGACATCAAAATAGCTTAACGATGACTTTTTTGCGATTGCAAAATGATGGTTCCAATGGGGGAAATCCTTATTACGTTGATTAGGAATCTGCTTTGTGAACCATTTGTTCGCTATACAACTATTTTTCTGGTTCCGCAAAATGGCTTCCCTCCGCAAAATAACTTCCCTCCCTTTACAAAATGGCTGCTTGCCGGACTCCTGCTTCGGAAGACAGCGATTTTTAACAGCTGATTAGCAGTTCTCTATGGGCAATCTTCGCTGGACGATGAGGTATTTCCCCATTGGAACGCATTGACTGGTTTTCAATGCATTCCAATGGGTTTTTTTTTCGCTTGACGAGGATTTTGTTTAACAGCGATTTTCCTGGAATGGGTTATCAACGTCAAGTGGGGCACCACTGAGGGTGGAAAGGAGACCTGATACTTAACAATGTATCGCCACTCATCAAATTACACTGAAATTGTGGAAAAATGGGTCTGAGCAAATCATTAGGTAAAGGTAAAGGTTCCCCTTGACAATTTTTGTCCAGTCGTTTCAACTCTAGGGGGCGGTGCAAATCCCCGTTTCCAAGTCACAGAGCCAGCGTTTTGTCCAAAGACAATCTTCCGTGGTCACATGGCCAGTGCGACTTAGACACGGAACGCTGTTACCTTCCCACCGAGGTGGTCTCTATTTATCTACTTGCATTTGCATGTTTTCGAACCGCTAGATTGGCGGGAGCTGGGGCAAGCGACGGGTGCTCACTCCGTCATGTGGATTCGATCTTACGACTGCTTGGTCTTCTGACCCTGCAGCACAGGCTTCTGCGGTTTAGCCCACAGCGCCACCACGTCCCAAAATCATTAGCCACAGAAAAACTGGAAAGGTATGACTATATGATTAACAATTCAATATCACATACCAAAACTGTTATGTCCGGGAACAAAAGCACAGAAATTTAATTTTCAAACAGATTTTGTAACAAAAACCTAAATCTTATACATCTTGTGATCTAGGTATAGGCAAGACTCTTCTTCTGCTTCAAGCACTTTTCAGTTCCCATCTTTGATAATGATTTCCCTAGCAAGTGGCCATTGATCATTTCCAAAACTCTTTGATATAAGTTTTTACAATAATTAATCATTACACCTGAATTATCTGTGGAACATCAATGATTGTGGAAGTTTCACTTAGAGAAGGAAGTGAAGCTGTAGTGCAGTATGTGGAGCTGTAGTTCTGCCATTTGTTTTAGAGGAGCCCTTATTCACTGGTCATATTCCATTCACCTTAATTTCTTGCTATCTCGGAGACCCCTTTTGCACAGCATACCAGTGGCAGGATCATTAAAGAAACTTGCATTATTGCATCAGCCTGGCAATCAAATATTGTTAGCAGTTTAGTTGTCACTGATGTGGATAAACCCAGTCCTGGATGTGGTTGGGATTCACATTAGTGAATTCAGTTCCACATGAAACAAGTCCCTGCACATACAAACCAGGTATATGCAAAAGAGGTTTCATCTGAAACCTTATTTTCTTCCTCCCTGAAACAACCCTAATCACAACTATCCAAACAGAAACAGTGGTAGCTACCACAAAAATTACCACTGGGGTAAAGTAATGGAAAACAAAGGGTTCCAAACCACAGAACCCGAACTGGCCCAAACCATGAACCTTTTTAGTGTTTTCCTGAAAATCCTGGGTTGTTCCTCCAACCCCCACAGCTTGTCCCCTGCCCCTTCCCACTGCCCCCGTCACCCTCCTACCTTTTGCTGCCACTGTCAGCTTGAGAGACAGCCCAGACGCTCCCACAGGCTCTCAAATAATTTTTTTTAAAAAAAATTAATATATATGCACATCAGCTGAGAGGCAGGTGCATGGGCAAAGGCAACCCCAGACTGCCTCAATTTTTTTAAAAAAATTAACTTGCTTCTTGAGTTCATCTGCTATATAAAAGGGCCAATCCTCTCAAAAAAAAAATTTGAGAGCCCCAGACTTCCTCTCAATTTTTTTTTAAATTTAAATTTTTTTTTTTTTTTTTGAGAGGCACCCCGGGACTGCTTCTGTATGTCCCCCTGCCTCTGTATGTGCGCCTGCCTCTCAGCTGAGAGATGGGTGCATGTGCCGAGGCAGTCCGACCTGTGAGAGTCTGGGGCTGCTTCTAAAAAAAAAGTTCTTTCCCACTGCCCTCATTGCTTCCATGCCTTTTGGTGCCACTGCCACCTTCTCCACCACCACCACCATTTTGAGACCCAACCCAGCCACTTTATAGGGCCAACAAACTGATTCATGGTTAGTTTGGTAAAAGTTCAGAAATTTGTGGACTTCGGCAAACCACAAACCAAGATGAATTGCCATTTTGCTGGTTCATGTCCATCTTCAGAATATTTGGGGAAAAAAGAGAAGAAAACAAACACTGAATGACAAAAACAAAAAACAAACCCCAAACAACAACAACAACTGATCAATTGAAAGACAGGTCAAGGAATAGGGATGCAACCTGTGCTGGATGGGGTTGCATCCCCTCTGAAAAAATAGGTGCACAGCTTCGGCATGCACCTGGATTCATCTCTGAGCCTGGATGCTCAGGTTTCAGGGGCAGCCAAGAGGGCCTTTGCACAATGAAAACTCTCTTCCAGTGACATCTGCCTGACCTACTCCATCTTCCCAGGCAGGGTGGTCGAGAACACTGACCCTGAGAGAAGCCCGCAAAGAGAAGACCAAAACCTGGGCCTTCTTGGTGGTTTCTCCCCACCTTTGGAATAAACTCCTGCCTGAACACGCCTGGCCCTTCACTGGGAATTTTTGGCAGCCCCTGCACTAATCAGGACACTGCAACGAAAAAAGTGGTTTCTGTTGATATTAAATATCATAACGTTTCCCTCAGAAAAAAAGATGCTTCTTCCTCAGCAGCGAGTCATCTTGTCAATAGGTGGCAGCTCCCTCCCTCCCCCCCCCAGCCGCAGCAGTTAACAGCCAAAATTGCCCTTTTTTCATGACCAGTTAGTGCAGCCCTTCAGAAAATCCTGGGCCAAAAATTGCCCCCCCCAGACCCACTTAAGCTACTCAATTGTGCCCTCTGTGCCCTCTGCCATGTTGGATGATTATTGGCCAGTCTCCAACATTCCATCTCAGGTGGCAGAGCATGGCTTATGCTTCAGCTTTAGTGATTCCTAGATAAAATGTGTTATCTTGCATCCATTTCAGATGGGTTTGAGGCCTGGTCATGGGAAAAGGGTGGCCTGGGTTTCCTTGGTGAGTGATCTGCTCCAGGGGGAGTGTCTTCCTCTTGGTTATGTGGGATCTCTGAGTGACTTTCAGTGCTAATGACTATGGTATTTTACTTCAGTTCACGATTGAAAGAGCTGGTTATGACCTTAAAAGCCCTATATGACTTAAGTCCAGGCATCTGAAGGACCAGAAATTCCAATTTTTAGTATCTGTGGGGGAGGCTCATCTCTCAGTCTTGCTACTCTTCCTGGCCCCTTTCATGAGAACATAAGAGAGAGAGAGACAGACGTCTCGACAGTTGCTCCTAGGTGGTGGAACACCCTTCCCTGGAAGTCTTGGCTTTCTAAGCCGAGTCCTAGGCTTGGAAGAAAAGTAGGGTATAAATGTAACAAACAGAACAGTGTTTTCTTTGAATCTACAGGGTGATAAGAACATTAATCATTTCATGGGTTCATCCAAACTCTTGGCTTTCAGGGGTTCTGGGGAGATGCCACCTGCTAACTGAATATATTTTGGCTGGTGATGTCAGAGACTGAACCTGAATCTTTCACCACACAGAGCAAGTGAGCTCTGCTACCAAGAATCGCCCCCATAGAAGCATTGTTTTCAGCTTTAAGAATTACTTAAATTACATCACCACCAGGCATTTAATTTTAAATGGTGCTGGTTGTTGAACAACCAGATTAGAGGATTTGATTACCAAGGAATGAAAGTAATTCAGATGCAGCACTTCTCCGGGCCTTCAGACCAAGTCCTCTCTACCACCAATGCTATATGTTAACTGATGGAATTGTTATTATTAACTGTATTGTGTTTTGAGGAGAAAAGTTCTGCAACTTTGTCAGACTTTTAATACACTTGTGAGTGTGTATTGCTCTAAATACTGGTAGAGCAGATTTGTATATTTATCAGCCAGGCTTTCCTCAGCCGTTGTCTCCGCTGTCTTTTCCGCTGCAGGTGAGCGTCCCTTTCACTGTAACCAGTGTGGAGCATCCTTCACACAAAAGGGGAATCTACTGAGGCACATCAAATTACACTCTGGGGAAAAACCATTCAAATGTCCCTTCTGTAGCTATGCTTGCCGAAGGAGGGACGCCCTCACAGGACACCTCAGGACACACTCAGGTGAGTCTGTAAGATCTTTGGCATTTGTATTTCTTTTAAACATTGAACTTGCAGAACAGGTTCATTTTAAAGGTCTGACCAGTAATACTGCATGCACGGTGCTGTCTACATTGGCTGGTGGTGGGTCCCCAGAATTTGGCCTGGAGGCTTTTCCAACCTTTGCTTAAAGTGGCAACTGATAGTTTTGGAAGGTGAAGGACTGCAGAACTCTACCTCTTAATACATTGAGTGGATATGGCCTGGTAACAGAGACATGAGATTATCACACCAGCTCAGAAACTCTGGGAGAAATAAATTCTGTTGTTTCTGAATTCACTGGAAGGGTATACCTCTGAGTGGATTTGTGGGGGAGTAGTGAGATTTAAAGTAGTGCTGCACAGATCATTCTTGTTTTTAAAAAAATAAAACCATAGGTTATAAAGCCTCATATTTCTTACTAGCAACAAAGGTTGAAATGTAATTGCTGAAGTTCAAGAACTTAAGAGTCACTAATGGTATTACTTTTCCATAGGCTCACAAGAACATTTTTGCTTGTAGTGGGAACATCTCTTCAGTGCTTTAGGGCTTGCATATTAAAATGCTGTATATAAAAACTATCTTGTTAGCTTTCTCCTATTTCAATGCTAGATGATTATGCTAAACAGGTTCCAAAGTCCACATGTCATCTAATGGTTTTTAACAGTAATAACTTGAAGCAATAAACAGCAAAGAACAGAAGGAGCCACGTTGGTCATAACAAAAAAATTAAAATTAAAAAAAATGCCACAGTCCATATTAGGACAGTTCAATTATTAGGTCAAAACTGTTGCCACAAAGTAATGTAGAAGCTTTCGATTTTGTTCGCACACTTCATCAGTTTAATGGTAAATGAAATGGAGTTGGGCCAGAGTTAACATTGGGGTGAAGCTGAGGCCATGGAAACTGGATTTAGGAGCATAAAACATAATCTTGTGCCATTCATCCATTTAGCCATGACGGTTGACTCTTGATGACAGCAGCAGGCCAAGATTTCACCAAGGATTCTTTCCTAGGGGTGGCTGGAAATGGCAAGAATTGGAACCTGAGATCTTCTGCATCTTCTACCACTGAGCCATGGCCCATCCTCAATTTAGTCACAGTCTTTGTATTTATTTTAAGATGAATATATATACAGTTTAGGCATCTGTTTGCAGAGCCAGAGGTTAGGAGTTTGATTCCCCGTTGTGCATCCGAGAAGAACTAGACAGCATGGCCTTAGGCAAGTTGCACAGTCCCAAGAAGCCCCCAGAAGAAGGGAAGGGTAAAGCCCTTCTGAATTTTTCTTTACCTAGAAACCCTGAAAAAGAGTCACAAGAAGTCAGAATTTACTTGACAGCACACATTTATTATTATTGAATGTATATCCCGTTTTTTTTTCACTGAAGGTGGCTCATCTCTCATTAAAAGCCAGTTACAACAAAGTAAAACCAAATTAAAAGTTAGTGATGCTATACTATTTACATGGCGTTTTCACTCCTGTTAATACTGATTTCAAAGTATTGCTATTATTAACAAAGTCATTCCTTTGAGTCAAGAATTGGCTTTTATGGATGGAGGGGAAAGATCTTTTAAGACGTTTTGGAGATTTTAAAGATTACCGTGTAGCTGTGGAAAGCCATAAAGCAATCCCCAGCAGTTAAACCCCAAAGATCTGTTTCCTATTGATAAGACAGACAATAAGAAGGGCCTCTACATGTTTAGATGGGGTGCTCTGCTTTTGTCCTACAGATCACTTCCATGTTGATAATGCTAAACCTAAGTTTTGAGATAGCAATCATAGTATTTTTATTGTTGGGAAAGAAGTTAGCAGCCTATGCAGGATGAAATAAATCTTCTAAGGCAAAAACTGCTCAGGTGCAAGTGAATGTCCCAGTTCACATGTCATAACATCATCATAACAAACCAGTCCGTGTCTGTTGCTTTTTGATTTTAATCTGTCAACCTGAACTGGCATATGTTGTATCAAACACTGAACAATGGATACACATTGGCCACATTCTGTCATGAGTAAATGTTTTGTGCTGAAGTTCTCATCTACTATTTTGAGTAGGTGTTACCATAGCTCTAGTTTCTCTCACTGAAGGCAGCTGCTCCTTTACCCAAATGATACAGTACTGGGGGAGGATAAAGATCTTCCTGTAGCCATATGTTGCACTTCAGTTTATTCACTTTTGGTCCTTATTCCTGTGGGAAGACAATCTTCTCAGTGTTCTCTATACCACTGGCCAATTTTTGGTGGACTTTTAAATGGAAAACCCTGATTGATTGATTGATATTTATAAATTTTAAATTTATAAGTTTATTTATACATATTTATTTATTTATTATGCCTGGCAATGTTACTATTGCTTGATAGGAATCCCAAGTTAAGTACATTTTGGTTTGATCCAGCAAATCACTTCATGCTGCAGGGCATTCTCAGGATCAGAAAAGAGACATTATATATTTTTTTTTCACTGCAATCCTTCACTTTTAGGATATTGTTAGTGTACCATAATAACTTTATATGGTTTGGGACCTCACTGTTTGTCGGTCAGTTTCAACTCCCCATCTGACTAGGCCCTCACAGACATGAGACCATGAATATTAACACCTCAAAAAGGTCAGAAAACCACAACCAGAAGCTGGGCCTTCTCAGCTGTGGCACCATCCTTGTGCAATGCATTGCTGCAGGAGTTACAACAGATGTCTCCCCCCCCCCGGTGCCTTTAAAAAACAACTAAAAACACAGCTTTTTAAGGAAGTCTTTGGGGAGGTCTTCCTCATTTGAATGTGTGGAGGAAGAAGATGGGAGTTCCTTTGCCTTATAGCAATTTCTTGCTATCTGTCTATTTTGATTTTTGTATGTTTGAATTTTTTGTTACAATGTTTGCTTTATTTTGTTGTACACTGCTCGGAGTAGCAATTTGCTAGATGGGTGGTATAAAAATTGAATGAATAACTTTAGATATTTAAAACATATTGGTAGAACACGTAAGATTGAATTCAGCCCATCTTACTGTATTAAATTAGCCTGTTACATCTTGTCATTCACAGTGTAACTTCCATTATTGTTCAGCTCAAAGAACTGCTGATATTAATAACCGTATCACCATGTTTGTTCTTAGCAAGCAAGCAGTTCGTATAAGAAGGTGCTGATTGTGATTGTTTCAGTATGCGAGTGAGGAGCTAGGGCAGGAGTGAATTTGCATAGAAAGGTCCCACAGTGAAGTGACAAACCCAAGAAATAAAACAGAGATGATTTTTTGAGATTTGGAATATCAGTACTGCATTATCCTTCTCAGTTGTCTGCAGCACAGCAAACTGTCTGTGATAACAATGAAGAAGATCAGATGGGAAGCACTTTAGCACAAAGTGCAAAGCAGGCACTGAAACTAAGAGGAGTGAAGAAAGGAAGGACTATCTCACCCCATTGACTACCCACAGAAAAATTTCAATTTAAATCACATTCTCTTCTTACTATAATCTGTCCTTTCTAATACCAAATGCATCCCTTAGTAGCATCCTATTGATTTCAGTGGATCATACCTGTCAGTAAAGTTTTGGGATACATTCCCACACCCACACACCCCACACACATTGCAGTTGTTCTCAAAATATCCCAACTGGTGTGTCATGCTGTTGACTTTATGCGGTGGCTTAGTCTGTGATCCTGATAAGGTGAGCTTCTTTACTGGAGGCAAATAAACCCTGGCTCTTGAAAACTGTTGTGAACCTTGGTTGACACTCCCTGCAATTCCTACTCTTTAATGTATGCACAAGGTCTTGAATTTTTATCCTATGGCTTCCCACTGTATGGACCTGCTTTTGACTTGGTTGGAACACTGTGGCCAATTCCCCCATTCCCCAATCAAAGTGGGATTGTTTACTGTTGCTGTCTTCTCTTCCTCATGGTGGCTAATCCAGACGGACTGCACAATAGTTTACATGGGGAACTGTCAACTTACACGTATGCTCTGAATAAGTGTGCTGGGATGACTTCAGCCCACAGACACACAGTGATCTATGTGTGTCAGAGAGGAGGAGATTTATATCTTCTTAAATAAAGGCCAGACTGCAGTTCTCAAGTGCTAGATGGTCGTATGACAGTCGTTGTGGGTGGTGACATATTAAAACTGAAAATATAAATATAGGTGAAGGAAAATGGTAAAATGGCAAAAAAAGATGGCAGCCTTCCTAAAGACACAAAGTATGTCATTGAGGTGGTTTTTGACTGAAAGAAAACAAATATAATCTAATAGTTCTGTAGAGGGGCCTTTTCATAGCCAGCCTCTGATTCTCACAGTATTTTGGAAGTGTAGCTACAGGAGTATTTTTAACAGTCTTAGAGGAAGATCATCTTCCCTGAAGTTACTTCAGTGTGATTTCTCCATTTTCTAGGAAAGAGAAAATGGACAAGGGTACTTTGGAGAGGGCTTGTACTGGACTTTTTCTTCCTTTATCTGATCAGTTAGGGCTCTGTGCAGTGGGAAAATGAAGATGGAAAAAACATCTTCAACTCTTTTTACGCACTGAGGCAATTGTGTAAACTTTTGTTCAAGTTCCTTGTCTTTTGTGCATGCTGCTCAAGTTGGCCAAGTGTCCCTCTGTGCCAAATGCCACAGGGGATCTTTATAAGAGTTGGATAGTTCCCTGTGTCAAGCAGGTGGGGTAGGTTGATTTGTAAGTCCATTCTGTTCCATTTCTGTTTTAATCTGCAGTTTTTGTGGGAGTACAGAAAACATGCAAATTTTAAGTTGGCAAATATAAAATGTTATTAAGAACACTGCATTTCTGAACAATCTTTATTCCAAAATAAGTATGTGAAAATCCATATGGGTGCATTTTGTTACTTTTTGAAATCACAACTCTCAGTGGCTGAAATGTATGGGAGTTGAACTAGAAAAATGATAACATGTTCCAGTTCTGGGTGCAGATCAGTTCAGTTCCCATCAGAGTTCATGAATTCTTCAAGTGTCCTGTAATCTCAGTCTTTCTAGTGT